AAGTAATGAACTGTAGCCCAGAACAACCTTACGAATATTTATAGTGATACAAAGATATCCAGCACCCAGCTATATATAATTCACAGTATCCGTTATCCAATAAAAAATTACTAGGTAAGCTCTGGCCAGGTAGCTCAGTTGGTTAGAGTGTCATTCCGATACACCAAGATTACAGGTTCAATCCCTGGTCAGGGCACATACAAGAATCAACCAATGAATGTATAAATAAGTGGAACAACAAATTGGCATTTCTTTCAAATTAATAAATAAAAATGTTTTAAAAATATCTAGGCAAGCAAAGAATTTAGGAAATACAGGCCTTAATGAAGAAGGGGGAAAATATGAATCAAAAACTAAAAATGGCATAGGTGATAAAATTATTAGACAAGGATCCTATCTAATAAAAGAGTAATATGCAAATTAACCATCACTTCGTGATAAAGATGGTGGTGCCCACAGCCAATAAGGAGGGAATATGCAAATTGATGTGACAAAGATGGCAGCACTGGCTGGAGAGTGGGCAGGAAGCCAAGCCTGGACGGAGAGCAGAGAGCAGGCGGGAAGGCTTGGCTTTCTGGGTTGCCCCAGAGATCAAGGAATGGGGATAGGGGCGATCAGGCCAGGAGGGGAGGGCAGTTGGGGGTGATCAGGCTAGCGGTGGGGGAAGTTGGGGGTGAGCAGGCTGGTCGGGGGGCAGTTGGAGGCGAGCAGGCTGGCAGGCAGAGTGGTTAGGGGAGATCAGGCAGGCAGGCAGGTGAACAGTTAGGAGCCAATGGTCCTGGATTGTGAGAGGGATGTCTGATTGTCGGTTTAGGCCCGATCCCAGATTGGAGAGGGCACAGGCTAGGCTGAGGGACACACACCCCATGCACGAATTTTGTGCACCGGGCCTCTAGTATAACATAAATATCACATGTATAGTCATTAAGTACACCGAGCCACTAGTATTGTTATAACTGTATTCCAGATGTTCAGGGAGCCAGAGGAACGACTGAACAAGTTGAGACATGGAAGATGTATGTTTTGAATTCTTAGAAAACAAAACTATGATGCAAGAGATAAAAAGAATAAACTGATAAAAATAATACTAATACCTATTAATAGCAGAATTGATTTCATGAAAAAGTTGCATTAAACTGTTTTTCCCCCCACAACAAAGATAGCTTTCTAGCCAAATATTTATCAGCACCTAATTAAGACAGCTAAGCTGATCTGTGTTTAGTGTATCCTGTGCCCAATTGGCTCCTCTCACAGCACCACCACCTGGTTCCCATGTGACCAAGGGACCCTGCAGACTCGTTTAGACTCACAGATACAGGTAAGTGGCATGTCACCCTGCCCCGCCCACAACAATTCGAGGCTCACTTTGTCAAGAGGCGCTGACATTCTTTGGCGCCTGACGTCCATTGGGGAAGAATCTGGCTTGTGCTCCAGCCAAGGGGACCCCGAAATCACAGTAACAGAGAGCCAGGCCAACAGATGTTCCAAGTGTGCATGAAGAAGCCTTCCGGCCGCCCGGGGCCCCCAGCTCCTCCTTGCTCCCCTGTTTATGTTTGCAGGCGTGGAAAAGGAAAAGGGATTTTGGGCTTCATAGAGCTCTCTTGTCTCATGTGGCTACAGTTTTTAGAATGTAGCATTCTAAAAACTATCCAGGACAGAGTCTGCACTACAGGTGCGCCCCACTTTGAGAAAACAATGGGCGCAAGACGCAGCCACAGTCATTCATTAAAGAGCCTTATGTTTTCAGAAATGATGAATTGCATATGATTTTTTAAACAGCAAATCCCTCGGTATACTTAAGATTCAAGTTTAAAAAATCTGAGCACAGGCAGCTTTTAGGAAAACATCTCTTCTCTAAAATGGGATACACGTCTACATCCCTATTCGACTTGGTCCTGGCCAGCCTCTTACTTGAGAGCCAGGGCTTCAGTCACTGTCATTAAAGGGACCTGAAGCATTCACGGGTCCCTCAAAGAGCCTGGCTCATGGAAAAATATTTTTAAATGAAATTCCTCAGGACTAGTGCAGGGAACTGAGCAAAGAGGAGGGAGGGAAGGCACCGGCACATGGACCGAGTCCCTGGCTGCCGTCACCTCCACTCAGAGCCAAGAGGACACGGGAATGAGGCTGCGTCTGAGGTTCAGAGCTGGCGGGAGGGGAAGGGGCGCACTGCTGTGCACACTCCAGTGTGGAAAATGAAGGGAGCCTGAAATCACCGCCAGAGGTCACCTCTGGAATGGCCCCATGTGGACCCAGGAAATGCACTGAAGGCCTTCTCAGCCTTCCTCCCTGTTTTTGTGACTTGGTTCTTGCTGACCCTGACACCACCGTTACTGCTACCCAATCGCCTGCCCGGACTTGGTGGGATTCTCTGTGTGAGAGCTGGGTGGAAGGGTCTGAGGAAAGGTCTCTGGCATGCTGAGCCTCCATGGGTGTCATCTTGTGCCTACTTCTCATCACATCTCTGTGCAAACCTCCCAGCTCAGGCACTCCTCCTGCAAGCCTCTCTTGAGTTGCTGCAGCCCACAAACTGGAATTAACCCATGCCGAGCAGATTGAGAGGAGGGGCGGTTAGTTCCAGTTTGGGGGCTGCAGTCTTAACACTTTGGATCTTGAATCATGATTCTGAGCCCATGTCTCTGCTCTCCTGAGCACACTCCACAGGGCAGCTGGGGTCTCACCCAACGCACCCAGCCTATTCAGTATTAAATACTGTTCAACGTACAAATAGGATTCTAGTCTTAGCCTTGCAAATAAGGGCGCTGGCTTTCTGTGCCATTTCAAATAGCAAATGTGTGATGTTTGAAGGCAGAGCAACATCATTGTAAAAATGTGAAATAGGATCATGTCCATTTGGTCAGCAAATAGTGTACTCTGTGAAAACCCTTTGGTTAACTAGCAACACCTCTAACATTTACCTTTCAACACAGTGACATTTATGTGCAAATACAGCATAGGGGTGCTCTTTAGTATCAAGGAGTTAGAGGGTATGTCAGCACGCAAACACACCACTTCCTGCCGATCACATCTGTGACCTCTGAGACACGCCACCAACGCTTGCGTGTGATTGAATTATGATAATTATCTAGCCTGCTGTATATCTTTGTCCCCTCTAACTTAGGTCCAATGAACCCTGAGAAAAAAAGTTTAGGGGGGAAAAAAATCTAAGGAAGCAGAAACTTTTTTAAAGCACTTACTAAGTCATGATCAAATAAAAGATGATTTTATTTTTTAAAGGATACATTTACATATCGATACATAAGCAAGACATCAGAAACTTCCAAAATAGAAAGCAGAGCCTGAACCACCACAGGCTTCGGTGACACTTGGGAGTCATCGGTCGCCTATTTGGGAGAGAAAATCCCACATTTCAATGCGACCACCTGGCATGCTGTAGAGTGAATTCAGCCTCCCTCATTAGGGGTTTCAGTTCGGGGGTCTCTTCTATGTCTCCCTCTTCCATGTATTCTGTTATGGTATAGGTTTGAGCGAAACTGGCATGAAAGGACCACTGTTTAGAGTAATGGTTACAGGATGGATGGTTACAGAGTGGAGGTGGGTGGGGAGCAGGTAGGAAAGGGGGATATTTTCCCACCTGGCTCCTGAGGCCAATGATCCTGAGGGCTTTGGGTCCCAGCTAGCAGACAGGTTCCAAATGCAGGGTTGGCCGCACCCCAGATCTTCAGCTTCTATTAGATGCCACTGTGAGCTAGATTTTAAAGTTCCTTTTTATTTTGATGGTAGTTGTATTTTTCAAATTTCTGCATCCTATTGAATTTTCTGAATTGTTTTCTTTTTAAAAAATATCATTTTTAAAGTTCTCAGTCTTCAAGATTCCAGATCAAGAGGGGCTTTGGACCAAGACTGAGGGCAAACCAGCAGGGGGCAGTCTTTCCCCAGAGAGAAAATCTCAATGCCTTACCATAGATCAAGCCAAACTCTGATGGGCATGTGTGGTGTGAGCAATGGAGGGAGAGGGTTAGCAAAGCAGGAGCTCAAAAACTCAGCGTGGCCTCATCCATACATACTCTTGACTCTCCAGGAGCTGTGATAAGACACTTGAAAAAGTGACTATGCCCAACCCCTGGCCATTCTTTAATGTGCTGTGGCTCAATCCAAACTGTGCACACATAGCCTTGAATACACCAGTATAGCTCATGGGCCTTCGTACTGTTGCACTTAACACAGAAGAGACAGGCAGTAAAAATTTTACACGCACATGAATGAATTGCCAACGCCACTGCTGTGACAACAAATGATACAAGTGGCAAAGGCTGATCCTTTTGTCAGATGGCCTCAGAAAGATCAACTGAAATCAGTTTGCATAATTATCCAGTTGGGTTTTTTGAGGGCAGAGGGTGGTGGAGTTACAGGAAAGTGCCTCATCCATTGCACTGGGAGTGCCTGTCAGCGGGACTCTCCCCAGTACTGTCCCCCCAATCATGGAGCAGCTCTAATCAATTGGATGTAAAAATAGTCAGAATAGTCAAATGGCAGCCATTTTCATTCTGCCTTCTAACTATAAAAAATATGAGAAGAACTAGAGGCCTGGTGCACAAAAATTTGTGCACTGGCGGGGGGTAGGGGGGAGGATAGAGGGGTGTCCCTCATCTCCACTTGTGCCCTCTCACAGTCTGGGACCCCTTGGGACGGTGGGCAGGCGGCTTCTGGGGTCGCACATGGGCGCCTGGATGGTGGCTCGCACTGGTGGCTCATGCTGTCCCGCCCTGCCTGCAGTATGCAAATTAGCCGCCATATTTGTTGGCAGTTACTTTGCATATCACGCTGATTAGCCAGTGGGAGGCATAGCAATGGTATGGTCAATTACTATGTTTGTCTATTATTAGATAGGATTTGAAGGAATAGTCAGAATAGTCACATGGCAGCCAGTTTCATTCTGACTTCTATGAAAAATGTGAGAATTTGAAGGAACAGTCAGAATAGTCAAATGGCAGCCATTTTTATTCTACTTTCTAACTATGAAAAATGTGAGAAGAATCTGAAGGAAAAACAGGATGTTTTACTAAAAATTATTCTCAGGACACTGGAGCAGCAAGTCAAATACAGAAGGTCATTCTAGCAATGAGGCCAGGGGACCTATTGGAGAGAGGGACGAAGGAGGCTTCTGTTTTCATGCTGGATTTGGAGGTGCGAAGCATAACTTTCCACAGGCTCATTGTCCCCACAGAGTGAGCACAGCGAAGCTTGTTGGGATCCTAAGACACTGCTTCCATGGCCCAGGCACTGGAGCGCAAAACAAACTTCGTTAACTACAGGTGTACTCATTTTTGAGAAAATTGTGGCTACTTGTTCCTTACTCCTAACAAATGGAGAGGAGCCCTGCGAGAGAGCCCGTGGTGCTTGCGTAATGGTCACTTTCCTGGTCCCCTGAGGACATACCCTCGGTGTGAAGGCTGTTGTGTTTGGTTGGCTTGTTTTCCCAAAAGAGGCTGACGTTATTTTTGCATTAATTACCCTTAAAATTGCCAAGAGATAAGAGGCGGGAAGATGGAAAGGGAGGCCCTGATTCTATTTAGTAGATGAGAAATACAGACTCACAGAAAGTAACAGAAATGGAGGAGCCATGTCAGGATGAGGCAATGTCCTGAGGGTGAGCCCCTCCTGTCAGGCTCCTGGGAGGAGTATGTTCTCTGTCCCTCCACTGGTCCACCTTTACATGTCGATAAAAGTTTGTAAGAAGCAAAAAAAGCTGCGGATGGCCAGAGTGCACATCCCCAGTCACTCTGAAGCAGGAGAGAGCAGGACCCTCGGAGAAGCCCAGCTATGCCTGCTTTAATGAAGGTTAAGCCCTCCTGCCTGGAGCGGTGGGAGCAGCCAGCTGCTTCCTTGGGTCAGGAGTGCAGTGATGGCACCTGGAATCCCGCAAAATGTACAGACGAGGAGGAGCAGATCCCTGTCTCAATATTCACGCCTACAAAGATGGGGACGCGTGAGGGGAGCAGGCCCTTGCCTAGGACCTCACAGCTCTGTGTCCACCCTTCAGGGCATCACAGTGAGGTCTGCAGCGCTCTTACCACCCAAGCGGGCAGCCCGATTTGATCATTCTGACAATAAAGTCACCCTAAGGAATGCCCTTCCACAAGGTGCCTCCCGGACCAAAGATCCCAGTTGGGAAGTGAGACTCGCTGCTGGGCCGGGTCATAACTGGGAGGAACGCTCCACCTCCAGTCGCCAGACCTACCATCTCTCCAGAGCCCAGTGGGGCCTGTGGTTGTTCCTAAATCGCCCACTATTTCTGCCAGCCCCTGACTTGGTCTAGAGTCCCAGCTAGCAGACAGGGTGGGGACCTTCAAAGAACCTGATAGTGGGTTTAGTCTGGCATGACCCTTCCAGACTAGAGGCTCCTACAAGACAGCTTCCCTTTCACACAGCACTGGCATTTAGCATGGGTATCAGAAAAACAGACATATGACTTAAAGGGTTTTTTTTCAAAATAAAATGTGTTTTCAAGACTTGTCCACCCAACAGCTTTCCTACATCTTGGCTCTTGTCCAATGGGCTAATCTCCAAGTGCCTGAGGCTCAGAGCAATCCCAGAAACCTGTGCAGCATGGGCACAACGGTGGTGGCACAGATGCCAACCGACGTGTAGGTGACAAACTTGTAAGGCACTTCGATTTCCAGCCTCCGCCGGGCCTCCTTGTTCCTGGTGACCACCTTGAACCAGGAGTATAAGACTTGCAGCGAGAGATTCTGTACAACCTGACGAACCAGGAGGACCAACACAATCCCCACCATAAATTTGGTCAGACCCAGAACCAACAGGCCAGCGGTGAGTGGGGGGATGTGCTGGATGGCGGGCAGAGCCTCCGTGGGCTCGGCCATGAGCTGGAAAAAATGGTTGATCCAGAACCCGATCGTCACCCCAGCCCCGGCGGCCATGATGGTGGTGGTGTCCGCCCTGGTGGGGCTGTAGTACTCAGACACGG